ACGGGCTATCAAGAGTAATTTATATTTCGAGCTATTGCTATCACTAGACATGGAAATTATTACTTCTTTTTAATCATATTCATTTGATGAAATTATTGGTTTTGTGATTGTGATTTAGTCATAGAAAATGTCATTAAAATCAATCTTAATTCTAAATTCTTTTTATCAAAGATTACGCCCTTTCTTTTTTTTTGATTTAGACATGTCGCGAGTCTTGCGCTAGCGTAACATTAATAATAAGTCAGTGGTTTTGCAAATTAGTCACAGGTATTTGATTATACGATATATAAATCATATGATGTAACACATGTGATTTATGCCATCCCTAGCCTACCATTTTGCTAACCATTGCCTATCCATCTTTTCTACTTTTCCTCTAAAGCTTCCCATTTTCCCATCTAATTCCTAAAGTGCGAGACTTTCCTCCTTTATGTATATGAGTGGGATTAAAATTATAGTAGGCAAAATGAAGTTATTTAATTCACTCCTGTTTTCCCCTTCGAGTATAGAGACGTGAGTGTATAATGTATGTACTCGTATGTAATTTACAAAAGAAGCGTATCCTTGTCACGGTGTTTGTGGTCACACTTTTTTTGTATATTTGGTAGGTAAGAGAATACTTCATAAAGTATTTCTTACCATCCCACCCCCATCTCTTTTTTAATCGCGGTATTTATAAGGCATAACAACGATAGCCGGGAAAAAAAACAGAAACATTGACAGCCAACAATGAGCTACTTAACTTCAAGCTAAATACTTTTAAGATGACAATATAACGAAGAGACAAACCACTTATTATTGCACCAAGTCAAAATAAAACAGTTATATTTATACTGCACATGTTATGTTGTTTCATCACTACAATGAACAATTCTGGGATAATATCACCGTAGGGCGTGCACAATAAGATATAATAATACATACATATATATGTATATTATAAACAACTGAGAGTTGAAAAATATACTGTGTTATTATTTCTGGTTTGTAAATAAAAATAACGCTGAGTTTATGTTTTAAATGTATAGAAACTTGTTATTTATTAGCAGGTGATTAATTTAGCAAAATCTCGACATTAACCATCTCGTCTAGTTATTTAAGTTTTTCTTCTGAATTTTGATAAATTGATTAGAATAAATATTTCAATTCTTATTATATTAATATCTAATATTATTTATAATAGACTGGCCGTACTCTGCAACGCTTCGATGTGGCAAAAACCTTCTCTGAAGCCTCTTGTATATTGTGTGAACTTTTTGAGTTTTTAAAGCGTACATAAACCAAATTAACATTTTTATATATGTAGATAAATATGTATTAACTAATAACTTATAGTAATAACTTATATATTATAACAGCCTATAATAGTCCACTGCTGGACATAGGAATATCCTTAGAAAGGAGGTTTTGGCCTACTATACCACACTGGTACCTACTATACCACTTTTATATAATGGCGGTCCTTTAAGATGACGTTATCAAATAATTGACAGATGTCACATTCGTATTTTTCTTGATTCTTTTTTTATTTTTGTTGATCAAGCTTGAGGAATTGATTAAATGAAGTATAATGATTGGTTAGTTTCTAAACCGGTTGTAATCAAATACCTCGTCTTATAAGAAAGAAAGAAAGTGTAACTTCTTTTTATATACAAATCCTTACTAAAAGAATGTTAGCCTGTCACATCACATTGCAGGTATTTAACCTTGCGTGACAGCAATGGTTAAAGTGAAAACATTGATTTATTCTCCAAGCAATTTTCGATAGTGTTTAAGAACTTTAAAGAATTTAAAAAACTAGGATTAGGATACTTAAAATATTGTAAACAAATCTCAAGACCGATTTAAGACCGAAAGAGGCACCGTCAAGTGCACTCCAATATGAACGTAGCTTCCTCTATGATTTCATAGTCCTAATCTGTGTAAAGTTTAAACATTGATTTATATGTTGGAAAATAAATATTTCTAGTAAATTGTACTTTAAAAACCTTTAAGACTTTTTCACTAACAACCCGCCCAGACTTCGCACGAATATTAGAAAAAAAAACAACAGATTTTCCTTATTTTTTTGTTGTTAATCTCAGGAGATATATATTTAACGTTAAAAAGATTGTAATATATGTAATCTCTGTATCAAAATTAAATCTGTAATACGTTATTCATGGGGTGCTCACTAGTTCAGCGAAGTAGTAGACATTTGAAAATTATTTGAAATGGGAGTGTCGCCTCGTCATAGTTCATCAAAGTATACACATAAACTTCTTTCGTGAATCATTCTATCCTTCGATTAAATAAATTAGTAGTTTATTTGATCGAAGATTCTATCCAATAATGAAAACCGTATGAAAATCAATTTGCATAGCTTTACAGTGTTCAGACAGAGTTATAAAATAAAGCCTACTGTCGCCCTGTCTGGGCGTAGTAGTAGACTTTATTTTATAACTCTCAAGTCGGTCTTTAGCCGCACCTTCGACTACTTCCCTATAGCAACCAATGGCAATCAAAAACGCTTACTATGTTAGTTAATTTTAAGCGAACATTAAGTCACTTATTACCCAGCATTCATATTAAACTCCCGTTAAAAGGAACACAAACCTAAATTTTACAATGCCTCATAAAATGACGTTTATAGCATTATAGACGAAAATGTTGTGGTCATTGTGCGAAATTAAACGAAAGTTTTGAGGTGAACCGCAAAAAGAAACTGTGTCAAAATGATTAAAGGCAACTAGTTCTTACCGATGACACAAACACTACAAAAACTGCATGTATGTGCTTTGAAATAATGAAAACAAAACTGTATAATTTATACGAAATGATTATTTTTGTAATATAATAAGAAGAAGACATTATTCTATTGTTTTTTTTTTCATGTTTATAATTTGAACACGTTAAGATGTTGATCAACTCGATCATTTTGAGTGTTGGTAACATTGAGGGAACAATACGTATTTAAGAATTTCAGCCACACTCGTTTAAATGTTATACATTTTTTCATCCTTAGGGAATAGCACTTACTGGGAGAGGTTTAGAACTCTCCCGGTGCGCCAGGCCCGGCAACGGGCCAAGTACCGCAGATAACTTAGGCGCCAGAGGTGGCAGAATAACCTACGTCCTCCATAAGTGCAAGCCTGGGGGTGGTAGGTGAGGCCATCTGTCCTAACAGAAGCAGGCCGGGGTGGTATCGAGAGGCGCTGCTGAGCGCGTGCACCCTTTCGGGAGCACAAAGGGGACATAGGGGTTCCCACACTGGAGAGGGTCATCTACCCGCCGTAGATTGCCCAAAGTATGTCGGGGTACCAGGGCTTTCCTTCCTTTCTAGGGTACACCTGGTTCCCCGGCTACTGGTATCCGCGACGGCGTGCGGTTTTAGTCGGTTCGAGTCCGACATAGCCACCGGTGGGTGGTATCCGAGGGGATTTCCGCACAAAAAAAAAGGGAATAAGACTTGTTTATTGGATATAAGAAGGTTTTCTAGACCCGTCGTAAAGTGTATCACGCATCCCACACATAGCCTATTGATTCCAAACTAGGCAGAACCTGTAATATGGTAACCAGACTGCTGATAAACATTTCTATATATTTCTAAATACATTACATTCAGACAGAACAAATAATCTTGTTTATGCCACAATTACAGTTAGTGATTCTTTATAAAAACTAAATAATCGAAGAAAATAATGTAGTTAACTGCCGAAATGGCTCGTATAAAATCATTTTATTGATTGGGTAGTATCGTTACGCGTCAATAGGCTTAACATAATTTTGATTGCATGATTGATGGCATAAGTTATTTAGTACATTGACTTCTGAAACGCATACAAACAAAATAAATTGCAAATTAATAGATAATAGTAGAAAATAACGGAATATTTGTATTTGAGTTTAATGTTAAAATCACGCAACATAAAAGCGGTTTATTAGATAATGCCATTATGGTTTGTTGTAGAATAAGATACAACGGAATACAAAGTTTAAACCAGTTATTCAAATATTAAAGAAACATCGACTTTGTGGCAAATATTTAAATTATTTATAAGAGAACTGGTTTTTGGATTGACCTCTAATGTTCTGAGATGAGGGAAACTAGAGAACTAAAGGCAAATTTTATTCTTAAAAGATTCATTTAAACAATTTGGGTAAGATTTTTGTTTAAGCAAATATTAAATAGTTTGTTTAATAAATTAGCAATATACAGATTCTTTTTTCCCTGAAGTGGTAGACAGAGGCGAGTTAAACGTTTACGTTTAGCCAACTATAAATTTGGTCGAACAGAATTAAATATAAATATAAAAACTGAGATGGTTTTAAGTCATTCCCTTAGTTAAAATATTTATGAAATACAAGTTAAGTAACACAACGGAACAGTACGGAATTTATTATGAGGTAACTTCAATGTTAGCACTGGGTAGGGAAGATTATATAAAAGATTATACAGTGTTCCGAATAACAATTCTATGGAGAACTCAATAGATGGTTTAGTGTTGTAATAATCTTGTGTTTACTTATGTGAGAGATCGCAGTTGATATCTACTGACTGAGATATATAAAGATTGTGATAAGTCCTCGCGTGTTCTTATAAACGGTGACAAAGATTTTTTCTCATGTGATCTATGAGTGCTTGATTTGATTATTTATTGGTGTTGAAGAATCTTTTGTCAAAGGTAAAAATTGTGAAGATAAATTTATAATACTAAGCGGATGTATTGCTCTTGAAAATTGATTCAAATTGAAATATGCCGGCTACTCGTACGTTGATCTAAAAATTTGAGCAACTGGTTTCGCGTCTGCATCATCGAATCCGTCATTAATATTTACCTTTTCATCGACTTGAGGTCAAGTTCCTTATTAAGAAGTTCTCCGTAAGAATGTTTTAAAACTTTCAGTCCAGTGAAAGTATCCTCGGCGTCTTCTCCTTTACAGTCTGATGCACTCAATACACAAATCCAAACACTTCACTATAAGAACACCATTAATATTTGAACCATAACACCATACTTTTATTTTATAATTACATCACCGGAACTGATAATTGATTTGATTATAAAATTATCGAAATTACAACGAGATGTGACGAGAGCGGACGATGTTGGCGTGAGTGCGCGCGCAGCCGCATCGCAGAGCTGCGTTGGAGTTAGTGAGTTCACGAGTTCCGCGAGTAGAGGTGCCGGTCGTGGACGGCGGTGGGTGAGGCGCGAGGCGCGGTTACGAATAGGCGCGCGGCGTGTGCGCAGTCTTTGCGCTTGTATTTGGAATGCAATCTCCCTCGCTCTCTCAGGCATGCACGCGTTTTCTCCCATACGCCGCTTCGTCTCGTTTCCTCGCCGTTATTGTGAATGGTTGTTATGCTATGCATTTGTGTCCAATAACTCCATGAGGCCTAGCCTTTTTGTCCTTTTTTGCCGTTCCCAGTCCTTCGGACGGTTCATTGTTTACTGTTTTGACCTTTTGTCGCTCATTTCACATTTGTTTTTTTTCAGATTTGCTTTGTCAGACTTTTTACTATTGTTTTATTTTCTTTTTTATTAATCAGTAACAATGGGCCTTGTAGGAACAAAAAAATGTGTTAAAAAAGATCTTAGAATAAATTCAACGGGCAGTTTGAGACCGTTATGATACGATACACACAGATGAGAAGCATTCTCTCGAAACTCATTAAGATAGCAGTGAACTTCACAAACAAAATTTATTCATTGTGTGTTCCTACATAATGTGTAACTAAATTAAAGCGCGTTTACGTAAGCCGTTACTAAAAAGTAATATAAATAAGGTATTCTGTAATTTTTGAAAATCTTTATAACTTATTACGTAAAATCTTACTATAATAGTGAAATCAGGAAAGGTATAAATCGTAACTAAATATCTAACTCTTTCACCCAAATTATCATTCATTATTAGTAAATCTCAGAGCAAAGTCCAGCTCTAAATAAAATTGTAACATCTAGAAACATAAACCATTATATTAACGTAGAACTTAAAGGTAACCATAAATCTTAGAAGCGTTCTTCAAAACATAAAAGCGTACTAAGAAACGGTAACGGCCGATCATAATCTAACTTCTGGCTTATTTAGACGAAGGAAATTGCACATACTGCCTAGAAACCAATGACCGGATGAAACTCCTTTTTGATGCAAAATGAAACAACATCTTTTGTCTTACTTTGAATTGTTTATATGCAGATTTGTAACTGAAAACAATTATTTTGCTAAATAGGTGTAAATAAAAGACCTATAAGGTTGTTTAAAAACAACTTTCCGAAAAAGTATTGTTTTCTAAATTAAAAAATCAATTTTTTAAGGTTATGAGCGTTTTTCTTTTAAAATGAATGAATGAAAACAAATCGTCACTCATCTTGTTTTTGCCAACTCACCGTAATTTTCTTCTTAACATTAATTGAGTTAACTCAAATGAACTTTCATGTTTGGAATGACAAAATATTGATTTTTTTATGTAACTTTGGCTGAAATGTAGGAGTTGACTTTTTAAATCAAACTTTGATCATATAATATAAAATATAAAATCATATTTTTACCGTGTAAGTAGATATTATTTGCATTTTTATGTGAAGTTACATAAAGGAGTAAAAGATGAGGTATCTTTGTTGTTATGCCTCATATAAATGTTTTGCTTAGTCCAAAATATAAATCCACCGTGGGACGTGGAGGCGGGAGCCCTAGCGGCTATGTATCGGTGGCGCAAAGTAGGCGCGGGTGTTGGGTCTGAGTCCTGAGACTCGAGAAATCGAGGATCAGAAATCCCAGCTCCGCCAGGTCCTCATAGAGGAGTGGAAGGAACGACTTGGGCAACCGAGCGCCGGGCACGCCGTTATTGCGGCGGTAAGACCCGTTATGAAGGATTGGCTCGAGATTGGTGATCACCGGAAAAGGTTGTTTCGGAGATCACCTGTGTCTGATTCGCAAAGAGCCAACGCCTGAGTGCCACCACTGCGATGGCCGTCCGTGGACACGGCCCTCCACACGTTAGCAGAATTCCCGGCGTGGGTGGAGCAGAGGCGTGACCTCGTGGTGGCCATCGGAGGCGGAGTCCTCTCGCTCGGTAGTATGATTCCTGCCATGGTACGGAACGAGAGTGCGTGGAACTCCACCGTCTCATTCTGCGAGCAAGTTGTGCTAGCGAAGGAGATGGCGGAGCGGGACCGGGAGAGGTTTAGAACTCTCCCGGCCCGCCAGGCCCGGGAACGGGCCAGGTACCGCGGACGACTCGGGCGGCGGAGGTCACAGAACGACCTCCGTCCTCCATAAGCGCAGGCCTGGGGGTGACAGGTAAGGCCATCTGTCACCCTGGCAGAAGCAGGCCCAGTGCCCTTTTTTGAGCACCAAGGGAACATGAGGGTTCCCACATCTACCCTCCGTAGATGCCCCGAGGTACGTCGTGGTACCAGGGAAGGTATTTGCTTCTTTGAATGATTGTTTAAGTAACTCATTACAAAGTGCGACAGTAAACGTCAAGTGGCGTTCATTTACGACATTATGTTAATAGATAGGTATGCATGAAATCTGCGTACAATGTGTATTGTGGTTAGTTTGAAGACGTGCTGTCAAAAGTAATAATAGCTGTCATTTTGACATGATTATTGTTGTGACAGTTGAAAAGATCGTAGGTAGATTTACCAACTTGACAAGGATATTTTTAATAAGCTTAAAAATATTTCAATACTCGTAGTTAATAAAGTATTCCGAAACTGAAGAGTTGTATCTGTACTAATTAGTCAAAAGTCTGTTTATCCAGAAAGCTTATTAATTATATTATCATACTCAGACTTACATTAGCGGAGTAATGACTAGAAACGCAGTCGTAAATACGAGTAGTGTAAATACATAAATAGGTTTCGTAGTAGTATAAGTATGTGGATATACGTACATAAAATTGGTTTCTATTGAAGCTTAGATTTACTATGATTACTACTACTTAGATTTATAAATATTTTACTTAAAACATAAGAAAATTACGGAGATTAGATGTACAATTAAGTAGATTAAAATGTAGTAAGTTAAATGTTAATGTATGTGTTATGTTATGTAGTTATGTTTGACGACCGGATGGCGTAGTGGTTTGTGTAACGGACTGCTATTCCAAAGGTCGCGGGTTCGATTCCCGCTCAAGTCAAACATTTGTGTGTATGAACATTTAATGTTTGATTTAGTCTGGGTGTTTCTATGTATAATAAGTATGTATTTACAAAAAAAAGTATATATGTATTTATATCAGTTGTCTAGTACCCATAGTACAAGCTCTGCTTAGTTTGGGACTAGATGGCGTTGTGTGAATGTGGTAGAATATTATTATTATTATTTATTTATTAAACCTGAACTTTCGCACGTAAGCATGATTGATTTAAACTTCAGCTTACTTTAAAAACTGCTACTATTGCTTTAGAGAGGAAAAATGAGATATTGAGCAAGTAATAGATGTATACAGGTGTAAGGGACATCGTAACGAATACTATATTATTCAGACCATAATTATGAGTCGAAAACCTTTTTTTCGAAAATTTTCCATTTATTGTTAAAAATGATATCACAATGAGTAAACAGAATATTAAACCGAAAATAAATGAATAAATACCGCATACGGTCAAAAACTGCAATGTAATTAATCAAACAGACGAAGCGCGCGGGGCCTTCTCTCCGGCCGCCAGCTTTTGTTAGAAACAGTCTACGCACGTAGACTGTTTGCACGGAATACACATGTAGTTATTACTTTTGTGCGATACCTATTGTGAATGACCTTTACCTTTGACAGCTGATTGCATAGAAACTTTAATTTTCCGGCAGAGAATTCCTATGATTTTAGACTCAGAATGATGGTCTGAATACATTGTTTCAGTATTCGTTACGATACTGTACACAGACATAATAGACACAAATATTGCTGCAAAAATGTAAAAAAAGGGGAAAAGTATAGTGGAACATTGAAAATTCTCGGCCAACTCTTCGCTAAAATATAGCTATATGTTAAAAAAAAACAGGATTTCTGACTTCCTCTCTGTAGATGTAAATACGTGAGTATGTATGTATAAAAGAAAGTGGTTTGCATTGAAAAAGAAAAGCAAAACAAACCACATTGTATCTCCGTCCTTCATCTGTCAAAACTGACTTTAATTACCTGTCAAACTTAGTGTTGCCTACTCACCTACATGTTGTACATTGCACACAAAAAAATAGTTATGAGGTCAACTACTGTTTGATCAAGTGTAATATTGGGCCGCTATGACGATGGTATAAAAGTGATACGAATGTTTTTTTTTCACATATTTTACTTGGCTTGTGATCCGTGCATTACAGTAAATAATTGGGAGTAGTCAGTCGATTTGTTTACGGCAAACAGTAGCAAATTGCAGTCGTTCCTAAATATGTGAGGGAATCTCACTTAAGACACTTATAAATAGAAAATTTAATTTAATCGTGTTAATATATCTTAACCATATAAACGATTGATAAGTTTTTTTATTGCTAAATGGAATTGAATCTGGCCATAACAGCACATTGACCTCGATTTTGGCCACTTTGAACTTCAGATTCGATACGCATAATTGAATTTAGTTCTTTTTCTATAAATTGAATTGTATCAGCGATCGATATGGCTCATTTTTACACGCTTTATATTAGCTTCACTTGTATGTTTGTTTGAATGTTTGTAACCGACTCCTTTGAGCGTGATTTTGACTGACTTTAAACGGTCAGAATTCGTTCAAACTTTGTAGATATATCGAGGACCGATGACAATACACTAATTAAAATAAAAAATACGTACTATATTTTTTTATGTATTGGGAATATCGTAATTATACGTATATACACGTATAATTACGATAGTCACAATACAGGGGTGCTTTTTACTATTGACAACAGGCACCCAACGCTTTTTTTCAAATTTATTTTCTATATTTTAGTTTGGTTTTCTATAGAAAACGTGTTTTTTAGTTTTTTTTTAAACAATACTTTGTAAGTATTGTGACTATCGTTCTATCAGTATTATGATACCCACAAGGGTAAATTTAACCCAGAAGCCATGATCCAGTATGTTTTGTGTTGGCAACAATAAAAATTACGTTAATTTACTTTTATTGAAGCCTATATCTAGCAGTAAACTATTAACAGCTTTTGATGGTGATGATGATATACTCTTAGGAAATGATATAAAATACCGGAATAGAACCTACGCAGAAAGTCAGTAATCGCAAGACAGTGTTATGATTTTTAATTACTTTATTAACTTCCTTATAACTTTTAACCAATTTGGGTCGGTAGAATTTTAATT